CCTATGAGCAACCCCATGCTTCCATCCCCACTCAATCAGACAGTGAGCTATGATGCGGCCATAGCTCAATAAAGGCTTTTATTTGGAATTTTTTTTCCAGAAGAGAACATGTTTCTTATGCAACAATATCTTTCTTTTTTTTGGTACCAGGACTTGAACTCAGGTCCTTGAGCTTGCCAGGCAGGTGCTGTCCTGTGCTGAGCTATACCCTCACTCCACAATATATTAATAGATGCAACTGGGCTCCATTTCTTGGCTTTGAGGTAATGAAAAATTAATTACCATACTTTACAAGTAATAGTTTCCCCTCGCAGCACTCCCTTAGAAGTAAATATATCATAAATAGTTACTGTAATACCAATGGCTGGTGGATTGGGTAGCCTGTCGTCCATAAATCCTTTTTCAACAGACATGTTATTTCTCCTAGGGGAACAAACAGATTTGTTTTAGATCAGAGAGTCAACTGACAGATGGCCTTTGTAAAAACACACCATTTGTATAAATAAATTATAGTTTTACTATGGTATTCCGCATTCGTGGATTTGGAAAATCAATGTACCTCTTCTTTAGAACTGGCCTGGACTGGAAAAAGCAATTTTGTTCAGGTGTGAGGTCACATTGCACAGGTCTGCCAGCACAGATGCCGAAGCCTAAATTCTCTGGATGGTTGCTGCCACTTCCCATCGCAACTGTCACAAAGAAGTCTGCCTGGAGGTAACAGGATGATCTCCCAGACAGCATCACTGAGCAGAGCAAGATACCAACTGGCATGCTCCCCTTAGCACTGGGTTCTGTTTCCATTAAACTGAATGACACTATGTGCCTTATTTTCCCAACCAAAACTTCGCATAATTGGGGCTGACAGTGTATTTGTCTTAAGGATTGGAAATGTTTCATTTTCCTATGCAACACAGTTCAACAGTTAAATGCTAAACATTCAGAAGATTCCTTTAAAGTCCAGAGCAGCCTTAACTCTGAGCCTATCACAATCTCAGTCACTACCTATTTTATAACTATACACAAGTATCACACACATCACCTTATGTATTCATGTACAGGAGGTTTTATGCATAAGTATGCATCTATACACACACATAACAGGAGCAAACTTTCTTCCCAGGACCAAAATTCAGAACTTAGTATCCAAAAGGACATAATTCTTACTGTTTTCAGAGCCAGGACTAGTAAACTGTTTATTTTGTTGGGAGACCAAGTCATTCATTTCAGCCACCAATGCTAAGAATGGGCTTTGCTGCCATAATGAACGCCTTTATATCTTTTCTTTAAGGACATATTCCACTGCATAAACAATTATGATTCTAAAGCCATCAGTTCTGCTCAAGGAAATAAATGTTTAACATTAATCATGTTCATTATTAAAAATACAGTAACATGAAAGACTTCTCATGTTTCTAGCCAAAAAATATATATATTTTAAATCAGATCAATTGCCTAATATTTTTTCAGTTATAAAGTACTTTCAGAAGCTGTACTTATTTTTAAAATGAGATATTGTTTAGCTTTTTGTTTGCATTCATAACTTTAGACCCCCAAGTTGCTATTTAGAATTATGACAGGTGGTTCCTTGATGGAATGAGTAAAATATCCCAAGTTGCCTAAATTACATCCAAAGAAGAGCTTAAATCAATGATGTCCATTTGTTTTTATGACACTCTCAGGGAAGCTCAGGTTACTTCAAAGGAGATCGGAAACTCTCAAACAAAATTAATCTGGATAAACAAATCTGGCACATTTATACTTATATATACCAAATATAAATATATATCTATATGCACATAGTGCTTCTGAAAGAGGCAAAGCTAGGAAATCAATGAGTGTTACCAAGATCCTAGAAGATTAAACTGATCACAAATTATAGTATGTATTATGCACTGGGTTGGAACTAATCAGGGAAAATAAAAGTCCACTAAATTGACAACATCATACATTGAATCATCAGAAAGAAAAGAGGTCAAGGGGGAGCAAAAAAAATCAATGAAGCTATTTTTAAATGGGTGATTTTGTAAATCAATTGCTAGCCGACCCAATAGGTTGTATGGTTACTCATTTGATCCACTTTTTTTCATATCTATGCTGTGCTACATTCCTGTCTGTGAATGGAGAGGCCATTCATCCTGCATCTCAATAAAATCATACTAGACATCCCTGTTGCTAATGGAGCCAGCTCAAAATCAATATATGTATTTATCATGTTACCCACACATATAGATCAAGGGTTAAGAAAATGTTTTCAATACAGTAGTAATCAACCAAGCCTCCTATAATTAGGCTGTCTGGTGACCCCTTAAGTGTAGGTATTGGGGGTGGCCCAAGAGGCTATCTTATGACCAAGTTCAAAATTCCTTTGTTTAAAGCAAATGCACTCCCCTATCATCAGATTATGCAATGAAGAAGAACAGGGACCTCCTGCTTCCTAAGTCTGTAACTGCGGGCAAGTTTCTCACCTGCTCTCTGCCTCAGTTTCTCTAACTGTAAAAAAGGAGAAATAGTGTTTACACCATAGAACTGCTGTGAGGATTAAATGAGTTAGGAAGGTTGAAGTGTTCAGTGCAGTCCACACAGTAAGCATTTAATAAGTGTGAGCTCTTATTATCATTTATTACCTCACTTGTCAGAGGTTCCCTAGCTAGTTGCAGCAGAACTCAAGACTCATGACGACCTTAGAATCATGTTGACTATTTTTAATGTACCTTAACTACAAAATATTATCTTAGTGTTCAGATTTTTATGTGTTAAGTGCTCAGTATTAAACAGTCACTTGACTTGACCTGCACATTAAGTTGCATATTTGTCCTTTGTATGTCCTGAAAAGCGTGGAATTGCCGGGAGCTACATTGGTTGAGTCTGGAAATACGCTGGAAACTCCACCCCTGATTATCTGCGTGGCTTCACTGGGTCACAGCTCCCACCTAAGTACCAGATTTCCTCCTACAACAGAAAGGGCTTGGACCAGGCGACCTCTATGACCCCTTCTGTTCTAAGAACCACAGCATTACAAGGCCGATCTCTCCCTGGAGTCTCTGAGTTGTGACTGCCTTATCTACAGATGGTCTCTGACTTACAGTGGTGCAACTTACAATTGTTGAACTTTACAGTGGTGCAAAAGCAATAAGCATTCAGTAGAAACTGTTCTTGGAATTTGAGTTTTGACCTTTTCCCAGACCACCGATATGCAGTACCATCCTCTCTTGAGACTCCAGGCAGTGGCAGCGAGCCATGGCTCCCAGACAGCCAGGTGATCATGACAAAAAAATCAATATCCTCCAGTGGACTGTGCTGCCAAGCGAGATGTTCATGGGCTGGGGCACCCGCCTATTAGTCGTACAATATTTTCAACTGACAGTGGATTTGTAGGCGATAACTCCATTGTACGTGTGCAGAACATCTGCATTTGAAGAAACCACCCAGTATAAAGCAGGAGAAACCTGACTAACAGATTTTTAGACATGGCCTTCTTCGGGATAGCACATCCCCAAATGCTAGGATGAAATCAGTTTCATAAAATTCACACAGAAAGGCCCACTATATCACTTTAATTGGAAAATTATAGGGAAAATGTAAATCAAATATATACGGATGAGTTATTCTACCACATTTCAGTCAGCATGCCTGACTGGGGTACACAATAGGAGTATTTGTTAAGCACTTCTACAGGGCTCTGAAACTCCCTTGAATGCTGGCTTGAACTTTACGTCTGCTGAAGAAACAAGAAGGAACATAGACACTTCCCCTGGGAATGAGAAAAGACACTGCTCAGAGATGCCACAAGAGATCATTTGAAATCCCTTAAATACATGTCTCAGGCAAAGAAGACTTTATCCTGCCCGGCTTTCTGACCTGGAAAGTACCTCCCAAGACAAATAACAGTGAGGCTGTACACAACACAAAAGGCTTAAGAAGATGAGGGCAGGAAGTCCCGATCACCTGAAGCCCCGTCACCTGGGGTCCAAGAGAGTTTGAGAAGGCATATGAAATTTAAACAGAGGTTTATTTACACTGTAAGATATATGCAAGATTTTGAGGAAAATCAGAGAGAAAAGCAGCTGATTTCTCAGCAAAAACATGTGTTCAAAATGCACATGTTCTAAATTTAAAGTGCTGTCTATAAATGCCAGCAATAGCCATGATTAACTAGTACACACCAGAGGGTCGTGGACACTAGATTCTCCCCACTCACGTAATCAGGCTTTCAGTCACCCCCAACCCCCCCCCATTGCCCACCTAGTTACAAGGTTATGGCAGCAAATGTACACAATACTGTCAAACCGTAATGGCTTTGAAAAGCATCCATTTGGCCAATGTTGAAGAATTTTGCTTTCATCCAGGTCTCTTTTTTGCCTCTTAGTATCCTTGAATTCATCAAGGAGAAATGCAAGGAAACATGAACGGTCCACTACAAGTTAGCATTTCCCAGTGACATAAAGAAACCCGTGCAACTGGCCTTACAGCCCTGAGCCCTGGCCCACATCCCAAGAGTACTGGCTTCCACTGGGAACAAGCAGCTCCTAATCCCCACTGTCAGTGTGATACTGTCTACCACACCCCTTCACAAATGCGTTTTTCCAGAAACTAATAAAAACTGGTCCCCAAGACAATAGCTTCACGCTAAGCTCTATCCCCATTGGGACATTACAAATGAACCTACTGTAAGCAACCCAATTAAAAAGCATGCCCGTGTACACAGTCCTGGCCACCAAAATATATATCTGCTATTCCAGCAATTATACCACAACAGATTCTGAATGTGTCTTAATTCATAGAAGAATGGACAGGCATGGACACAGATTCTCAGTTCTTGTAGCTGTGGCTGCCATACGCTCTTCCCAGTGGTGGCCACGAACACTAATGTGTCTTATTATTTCAGGACATGAGAGAATTGTTCGCGTTCACCTTCTGAGGCTCTCCCAGAACTGCCAGATGAACACCCACGTCTCCTCCTCCCACCAAAGGTAGATGTGGCCAACGGGAGACGCTGGGTGGTGACCATGGAGCCTCAGTCCCCCACTCTGGGGAAAGCCTCATCTCAGCAGGAGGCCCCGGGCGCACCCAGCAGATCGGCCAGCTACGCGGAGGCCGCGCGGTTTCATCTTTAACGCTCCTGAAGGACAATAGCTCATCAAGCCCCACCGAAAGCCCCAGACCCGTCGCGGAGCCTGGGCTGGCGGGGGATGAGGCTGAGCGACTCCTCCTAGAGGTGGTTATGTGGAGAAGGAGCAATCCCTTCTCCCTCCTCCTCCTCCCCCCGCTACTATCCTCGGCCCGGAGAACTGCCGCTTGCCGCCATTGACACGCACAGATAAAACCCAAAGAAAGGCAAAGAGTCCTGCCCGGCACCGGCACCGCGCGGGCCGAACCTGCGCCCGGGGAGGGGCGCGCAGAGGGCAGCGGGCGCGCGGAGCAGGCGGCGCAGCACCAGGTGAGCCCGCCATGGCGATGGCATTATTGTTTAGGGGCTCCGGGGTCTGGAAACAAAACGCGCTGCCGGGGCAGTGCAGGGGCCGGAGAGAGCCACCCCCGCCTCGCCCCCTCGCCTCCCGCGGGCGCCCCCGGTAGCCGACCCACCTCTGCAAATAATAATAGTAATAATACTAATAATAAATCTGCCCAACTTGCCTCCCCGGGAAATAAAGGGGGAGGGTTGCGAAAGAAGCGGCTGCATTCCTGCGGCCGGCGAGGGGCCGGGGCTTCGTGGGCAGGGAGCGAGGAGGGAGGAGGGCCGCGGGGTCAGCGGAGGGCCCGAGCAGCTGGACCTGGGGGAGCGGAGGGCCGCAGGGGATGCGGAGTTCGGGGCGCAGAAGAGGAACGGGGCGCCGCGGGGCACGGGG